TTGGATGACCTCTACTTTTGCATGTTTACCGCTGCGATGTTGGGAGAGCACTACAAACTAAGACATTCGTAATGGTTCCTGACATTATAGATTTTTCTAGTTCTCACGAACTCAAAAATCAAGGAGAGAAATTGCATCATAGCAGAAAGTGCTTGGGAAATACATGTGGAAGTCTTATATTCAGGCTTCTTCCCATCATGAAATTCATTTTGTTGGTTTATTTTTATTATTATTAACAAGTTTATTGCCTTACACTTGATGAAGAATAGTGGAATGTTGAAGTATTGTTTGATGTGATGGCATAGCAGCTTGGATGACCTATGCTTTCGCAGGGTAGCCATTGCATCGCGCGTCACCGCTAGAAAATATTTAGATGTCCCTGATACTAGAGCATTGTCAACTGTGATGTGCTTATGGTTTAAAACAGGCTGATGTTGGTTATTATTTGCGTTTTTTTATTACCTGTATATGGAGAGAAGGGATTTTTTTGTATGTGATTTTTAAACATGGCATGGAACGTTCAAATGTCTTGTTTGTTTCAATGTATGACCATGAGCTTGATTCCAAGCATTGGTCACTCGAAATCTATGCCAAACATTGCCCATTGCAATTGAATTGTAGCTTGTCAATTTGTTCAACCAACTCATATTGCCTAGTGCTGTTGAAATGGTTCGAGGAAGGTTGGTTGTATGAATTTTCATCTTTTTGAATTATATTTTAAAAGTGCTGATGTTTTTTCTAGCTATTCCATCCATCAGATCAGGCTGCTCTTAATGCTGAGACAGGAATTGTACCTCTGCTTGCTGAAAACAAAAAGTTTTATTAATGAAATATTGACAGATATGGTGTACTGAGATAGGCTGAAAAATTTTATATTGCTTTTGCTCAGCATAAGATTTGAGAATGTTAAAAACAGTTTTTTATAATCTAAAATTGTAATCACTTGTTTTTGAGAGAGAACCTCAAAAACATCTATGTATGGATCCCTTTTTTTATTACTCCAACAGCTGTTAACTGTTTTTTAAATCCTGCTAGAACTTGCTGACAGTACTACAGGATTTACAGGATTTAGTAAAACCTTTGCCAGACAGTTTTCACGATTTAACCCCTTTCAGGATTTAGTAAATCCGGATTTATGGGCTTTATTAAATCCTAATAAGTTAAATGTCATCCGTTGCCACACAGCCCCTTAAAGATATAAAAGCCAAAAGTTTTTTTTTTTATGCATAAGGATATTATCAATTAAAGCTATTGCTAAAAAAGCAGGTAATGGCATACCATCTAGGAAAGCATCATAGAGACAGTCAGAAAAGGTGGAGGCAAATCCATCGGAAGCCAAAGAAGCAGATTGTCATTGCACAACCGTGTTAAAAAAGGCGATGTTGGAAAAAAGGTAAGATAGAGTTCGAATTACCAGTGAGGGAGCAATAAAGAAGAGGGTTTAATTCGTACGCATGTAAAACAGGCTATGAGGGATGTAATTGAGCTGAAAATTATTAGAAGCTGATGAGACACCAAAGGATGGTAACCACTAGTACAAAAGTTGGCAACACAGCTAAGATTCTCATGTATTTACATATCTAACAGCCAAAGTTTGATATTCATGGTAACCACTAGTACAAAAGTTGGCAATACAGCTAAGATTCTCATGTATTTACATATCTAACAACCAAAGTTTGATATTTACATGTTATAACACCTTGGTATCATAAACCTAAGCATGAAAATGTGTATTTCAGTTTTAAAATGGTCATGAAGGTGATATTTTTTATGTGATAATAAATATTTGAGTGGTATGCAAGTAAATATGAATGTTTAGGTGTCAGCTATGTAAATACATAAGAATTGTGTCGTATGTATGTAAATGCCCCTCTCTAATATTATTAACCCCATTCTCACACTTTGCCTTTATCACTGCCGTCCATTCATGTGGAATATGTGGTCTTTATCTATTTCAACAGCATTCTTTCCTGACTTATAGACAAGCTAACCTGATCTAATCTGTTTAACCCACCTTTTCCATTAACATTCATTCTATATTCCCTCTTTAATAAACTTCTGCAAACCTTCATACACACCCAAATTATCAAAGTTGATATTCCATGCCTAAATTTCAGTAGGTGCCATCCCCAGGAAATTGAATATTCAATAAAAGAAAACAAAATAGCTGTAAGGAGGTGGAAAGTTACTGGACAGGGATAGATTGGAAGGATGTAGGGTAAGAAATATGATTAGGACCTATGTGTAAACCTTAAAAGTGATCAACTAATCAATCAAGAGATGAATGGCCAAGATTGTAGGCACCGACTTAAAATCTTACATTTGCAATTCAGTTAATCCGGTAAAGTTAAATGTATGCTACTATTTACAAGGATAAAAGTATGTCAAGCATAGACTCAATCAAACTTTTGATCTATACTGGACTTCCTTGACAACTGGTCCGATGAGCCAAAAAAACGCCTGAACTACATAGTACAGATCAAATTTGTTAGCTCAGGAGTTATCAGTAGCTTTTCTAGGTTTCAAGAGGTTGGCTTAATAAATAGTGTATTCATGGCTCCAGAACTAGTTATCAACCCATTTCCACCCTCAAACATTCCAAACAAAATTTAAGAATTTTTCAAAAAAAAAAAAAAAAAAGGTTTATGGAGTACAATTTGCATTTGACGTTAAGGTTTCAAGCATACATCCCTAAGATAGTTCTATCACTTCAAACCTATGATTAGCAACTGCCATTGACATTCAAATGGGGAATATCAGTCAGTAATTCAACACCGATTAAGAACCAATAACAGCATTGTGAACAAGAGAAAGCAAATTTTTTTTCATTTTCAACTAGATTTCAAGGTAGATATACAACATTGTTAAACAAGAGCAGCCAATCAAAGCACTAGCCCATTAAAAAAGTTATTAAGCTACAAGATTATTCAAATTTACAGGCCTAAAGCTCGATCACACGCAGCATGTCCATTATTTGGACAAACCCACAAAATTAGAACAAGGTGAAAGAGACCGTTAAAGGTTTAATTAATTTGAATTTAAGCAAAATAAATTGCAATCCTTTTAGTCATAAAAGAATGTTCCATAAGCAAACACAAACCTGGAGCATAAGTGAGGAGTCAATAGGATTTTTGCCTCTACCAAACCATAAAAGCAGAGCCATTGCAGCCATGAAAAGAAATGTAAGTACAATCACCTACAGCAAGAAACTAAAGATGGTTAATCTAGTCATATAAGGTACGGTAATGCAGTTGATTTTAAATTAAGCAACTATAACAAATAATTTCATTCTCAAGCATGTAAGTGGTTCATACCAAGATGACATACTTCTGTCGACTCCCAATACGAACTTCAGCAAATGAGCAACATCTAATTTGAGCATGCACTAAACGTGGTTGAGTGTTTGATTTCTCCAATAAAGATTGCGAAATACTTGTATCATCATCTTCTTCTTCATCATCACTAGCTTGATGGCAAAGATCGGTCCTATAAAAACATTAATCTGAGAAGAATATTTTGTTCTATTAAGGTAAAAATTATCTATCGGTAGTAATCGAAAAAGAAATCTCAACTTCCCTAGCTACAATAAAAAAGGTTGAACCCACAGAAGCAAGTTAATCATAATATAAAGACATTACACCAACTTCAAACCCAAAATTATTGCAGTAGTTACAATAATTTCATATAAGAGATATGGGTTCAAAACCTATTGTTACTAGTTTAATGTTGCAATGTCACATACTGTTTCCAAACAACAAGTGCTTTAGGAAGAAAGATCAAATGACTTCAATAACATTTGCATTAGTGAAACTAACCTCATACACAAGGAAAGCATGGTTGTTTTATATACAATATGGTAAGATTTTTTTATCATTAATAACTCAGGTAATATCGTACATATATATAGTGTTCATGCTGAAATTTAATAGCAATCTCTGAATTAAAAGACTCCTACCAATGTTATAGTTGAAAAAAATATTGAAAAACTACTTACAAATTTATAAATTTTACAAAGCTCCCATGTGAAAATGAGCCCCGATAAATTTTAAAACTCCATAAACAACAACAATAATTCACCCTATATTACAAACAAGGACAAGTAACCCTACCATATATGCCTAGGTCTGCTGAAACCCTAGAATTAATAATAGCTATTTAGAAGGGAGCTTTAGTGGGAAAATGGTTGTCAAGTGGCGAGAGAATGAAAATATGGGAGGTTGGCAAGGCTTTGAAAGGCTATGAGGTGTTTGGCGGCTGAAATCTGCTGGGGGGCAGCAGGTTCGATGACATCGGCAGCTGTCCCATCTGCAAACAGAGATTCAACTGTGGCTTGGCATGGTACGGGCAGTTGGACAGCAAAATGAAAGGGATAAATGGCAATTTCTTGCTGATACAGCAGCTTGGAAGGCTGCTCGGCTGAAAATCAGTGGGTCGGATGGCTATACGGCAATATACGGGTGGTGGGGGTTTTCCACCACCTATTTATTCCTAAGCAAGATACAGACATGCTACTTGCAAAAAAAAATGATAGAGTACTCCAAAGAGCAAAATTCAGATAAAGCACTTCTCAATGTGTGGGGAGGATGTGGAAAGAGATAGGGAAAATCATCATCACCTTAGGAGAGATATAACTTGAGCACCACCCAAACCCTCAAATACAACCCTCAAAAGGAGAAACGGACGCCTATGGCTGTCTTAAACAAAACTCACAAAAAAACTAAGCCTGAACTCTTACGAAAATAAATATAAATAATAGGGTAACAAGGAGTGGCCCAAGAGGACCGACCAACTCCTCAACGGGGGCCCAACTTGGATTGATTCGGTCCAGAAGCACTAGTCGGGTCGTGGCTTTTTTGGTGAAACTCCCGCATCAGAAGCTAAAGGACCACTCCAACGTCATGATGGTTGTCAATTTAACTCTTGTCTTGAGGAACATGCTTGTACTCCAAAATTTGCTCCATTATCTGAAGCCACTCGATAAATTCGTGTGAATTCATGTGATCATCTAAATCAGCCAAATCCGTCTTCACTTCAAGATCCTAGCTTCTCCTCAGATAATTCATGCCAAATCATTAGGGTATTGGTTCTTCGTCGCAGGAGATTGTCTGATGGAAGGAGTTCACTTCCATCTCTCGATCTGACGAGTCAACGTTATGACTGCGGCTGACCTCACCAACTTGTCTCCTCTCGAAGGCAGCAAGCTTCTGCCACAGTTGAAGGATACCTCACTGCATATCATCCATACAAAGCTCTTGGATACCTTGCGGATTTCTCCTAAGTGGCATAGTGTCCTTTTCTCCCAATTAGATTTATGTAGGGTTGCAAATCAAGGTTGTTTAGCGGTTTAGGTTTTAGGGGTAGATGCTGCGGTGAAATTTTTGTGGAGGTAGAAATAATGGATTTGAAAATTTTCATGTTGGGGCGACAAATTTTAGATAACTGTGGTAGAGATGATTTAGGGTTTTTTTTTTTTTTTTTTTTTTTTTTTTTGGGCGTGTTAGGTTATTTGGAATTTTGGTTTGGGATAAAAAAGAAAAAAACCCCAAAGCTCTAGAGCTTGCCGGAATTGATTAGCAGATGATACTGATCTAGGATGTCTAGAAGGTATTTAGGAAGAGGATTCAAGGGTAAAACGATTGTGTAGTGAGGGAATGAAAATAAGGGGGGTTGAGAGGCTTGGAAAGGATATTAGGTGTTCGACAACTGAAATCTGTTGGGGGACAGCAGGTTCGAAGTCATCGGTGGCCGTCTCGGATGCAAAACAATAATCCAATTGCGAATCAGCGCGGTACGGGTTGCTGGACAGCAAACTGGAAGGGATAAACGACAGTATCCTTCCACGACAGCAGCTTGGACGAAAATCAACGGATCAGATGGCGATACAGTGATATACGGGCGGTGAGGGGATTCCAAGACCTGTTCTTAAGTGAAATACACACACCACTTGTAAAAGGAAATAATACAATACTCCAGAGAGCAAAATATAGAGAAAACACTTAACATTTAATCATTTCAGAAAAACTGTCAATCGCAAAACCCTAATACAATATATATATAAGTTTTCACGCAACAAATACTTAATTAGAAATTAAATAAATAAGAAAGAACTAGAAAGAAAACTAGTCGAAAAATAGAAATGAAATTAAAAAAGAAAAAAAGATTACTCGGTTGGTTCTCCCTCGATCACTGAAAAACTCCTGCCGCGTAACCTGAGGAATCCCACGGGACCCCGCTGACGCTCACACATCAAAAGCCCTCATATTACTACTATAATTCATTATAAAACCTTCTTATTAAAAAAGAGTATTCCTAGTGAGTAACACTAGTCTCGTAGAAACCTAATACTTATAACAAGACTTCAAAAAACCAAAGGTATGCATGCCAGGTTTCAAATAACGAAGCCATACATGTGCTCAAGAAACCAAGATAAGCCATTTCAAAAAAAAAAAAAAAAGGAAACCAAGATAAGGATGCGTATTTTACTTTCCTCGATAGCAAAATAGGGTAAACTATATACCGTCTTTATAAACTATTCTACATTTTATAAAGAGACAAACTGTTGATAATTTCATATGATATTACGGGGATATTGATGTAGGCAAGAAAGAAGAATAATTTACTTTCCTCAATAACAAAATAGGGTAAACTATATTACGGGGATATTGATGTAGGCAAGAAAGAAGAGCCATAAGGGCAAAGATCAAAATAGAACAAGATATGGATGGTTGAATTTGACCATTCTCCAGAATATTTTATTAACTTACATGTTCCTATTGCTCTATTAGGTCATTCATAAGTCAGAGAAAGTAGGTCAAAATTTTGACCACTTCGCAGTTGAAAAACTCTACAAGGAAGAAACCCACCAAGATGAAAACTGGATAACAAAGGTAGATTCCTAAAAAATAGATTCAATTCTTGTTGGGACAATCAACTGTTTCCCTTATGCTATATGAACCAGCATATGCATAAGATATTTCTTTGTTTCTTTTTCAAATATGCCTGGAGAATGAAAATTGTTACTCTCCTTTGGATAGAAAGTATATAAATCCTTTCCACAATGCAAGTTTATAAGTACACTGTTAAACAAGATTTCATGACCTTCCCAAAAGAAATTCACTAATATCCATAGGAGCAACAAGACAAAAATCTGTAATTATAGAACTACTCCCCATAAATAAATAAATAAGACATCGTATGAAACCTTATACTTATTTGCTTCATTGAAACATGAAATACAACAAGGACTTGTTATATGTTCAGTTTTCAATCAAATTTGCTCAGCAAATCATGAATAAAAGAACTTTAAATCATCATTAACGATAGTACATGTTGGCCCATAAGACAATAACATTGTCCGGAAATTATGAGTTGTAGAGCAAAATTTTTTCTTCCTTCGGAGTTGTACAACAAATCATAAATAGACTTATCATGCCTATGTGAGTGTGACGAATCACCGGTCACTCTCGATCATTTCCAGCAGACTTTCCGCACTTAGTGATACTAGGGTACCAGAGTTAATAGAAACAACAATAAGAAAACTAATATTATTACTAAGAGTAAATTGATGACTTCAACCAGACAGACTTGAAAAGAAATTAGAATAGTAGACACAAACAAACTCAACTAAAGTATATTCCAAGGGGTGGTGGTTGGTCTGGTGGATTGGATGATAGGAGGGTGGGTACGCGGGTGTGGACAACTGTAAGAGGGGAAATAGAGAGTTGCGGTTGGTTGTAAGGTTCAGGCTACAGATGGAATGAGATGTGGTTGGACTGTAAGCATGTTGACAGGCAACGACAACGAACCCATTGGGCTTGGACTATAATGGCAGGGGGACCAGGCACTGGATGGAGGAAGGCATAAGGGCTGCAGAAAAAATGTTGAAGTGTTCATTCTGGTGGTCTGTGATAAGGTAAGACAACGGTAACAGTGGAGGAGAGGTTGCAAAGAATAAGAAAGTCGATGATAATCACCACCTCAAAAAAGAAATACAGTCGAAACACCACTTGCCATTGGATACAACTCTCGAAGAGAAAAATCTGGATGATGTCGGTTGTCCTGGCAGAAAACACGAAACAAAAACTACCCTCAAACTTGAAAATGACATTACTATTAGGTAACTAAAAGGGGGAAACCCCACTCCTAATGAGCGGAAACGACTAACCTCTTTCCTTCCCAGCTAAGCCGGTTCTAACACCCCAGGTTGGTTCAGGTAAGAAAAAAGCCATGCGTTAGTCTCCCGAGGTTGGGGGAGCTTCAATCTCATTCGTCGAAGCTCTTATCTGCATTTTGAAGGGGACATCGTTTTGTAACATCCCAGGGCTAAAGGATCTTTGACTGTGGCCCTAAAAGCACATGGATCATATTGTCGACTGTACTATCCCCCAAAACACACGAGTTTTCTCCACTTGCAAGCAGCCATCCATATTGGTCCAACCAAATGAGAGTACACTGCTGAACTGAACTGAAACTTTGTGCCAAGTGTGCTTTACAAAATCTTCAAAAGGTAGTCCCAAATTGGCTCATCCCTATTGGATGTGAAAACAGCTGAACTACCTCTAACGGTGGTGGTCCAACGGTGGCAGCCATGGTCGTGAGGTATCGATCATGTTGTCATGAAAGACTTTGCAGTGACTACACCGTGTGTAGACTCGGCGTCTCAGTCCTTCTATCCTCTTTTGTCTCAAAAACAGATCCCACCGACGCTTCTCCACTGGTAAGCAGCCATCTATATTGGTCCAACCAAATGAGAGTACATTGTTGAACTGAACTGAAACTTTGTGCCAAGTGTGCCCTACAAAATCTTCAAAAGGTAGTCCCAGATTGGCTCATCCTTATTTGATGTGAAAACAACTAAACTACCTCTAACGATGGCTGTCCAACGGTGGCAACCATGGCAGTGAGGTGTCGATCATGTTGTCATGAAAGACTCTGCAGTGACTGCACCGTGTGTAGACTCGGCGTCTCAGTCCTTCTATCCTCTTTCGTCTCAAAAACAGATCCCACTGACGCTTCTCCACTGGCAAGAGCACCTATAATCTCAGACTCTGTAGAAGATAAGAGAACGATATGATTTTCATCCTTGGTGAATGAGTATGTGTTTCTATACCGGACATGTTGAGTCTCGTAGTCAAACTGTCACGGTCTCCGAAACAATGTGACAAACATTCATGGGCACTACGTTGTACCAAAACACGATCCTACAACTGATTCCCTATTGAAAACTCCATGAGACTCAAACATGTTAGACAGTACGGCTCAGAGTGCCTCAAAGTCTTAGGGTTCAATTTGTCTATTTGCGTAGATGTCACGTTCTTGTTGCTCCCTTTATCCGAGACTCAAACATGTTAGACAGTACGGCTCGGAGTGCCTCAAAGTCTTAGGGTTCAATTTGTCTACTTGCGTAGATGTCACGTTCTTGTTGCTCCCTTTAT